CCAGCGCGGCCCTTCGGGAAGCCGTTGCTGCGATTGCCATCAATCCAGCAAGGTAAACAGGAGAATAACCGAAGAAAGCGTCCCTCTGGGATCCTTGCAAACAGGTCCCCGAGTTGGGTTTTCCGCTCCCTGCACAAGCATGCTTTTCTGTTCCACTTGCTGTCCTCTGGTTCGCAGTTGTTGCCACTCTTATGAACGTGGTACCAAATTGCAGCCTCGTATTTTACTGCTGCACCCAAACAGAGCGACAGCGGCTGGGAGTGAGGCCTCTTCTACATTCAGATCATAAAGCATCCTTTGGTTATCCCTTCTTTATTTGCCATAATAGCTGGTCGTAAAACCCACTTTTAAGGAAATAATTGTGTACAGAAGAATCAGTCGCATGCCACAGAGATGCTGTTATTTACATAATTACGAGGAGCCTGATTTTATCTCTTAGCTTTGTCAAAACAAAGAGGAGCGATCTCGCACCATGTTTCTGATGCCCTTGAACCAACCAGAACATGCAGCCCTTAATTCCACTGAGCCTGGGCTCATGGGCTTCACACACAGTTTGTGCTGTGAGGTCTCCTTGCTCTCTGCCCAAGGCTGGGGCAACCCAGCTCCTGCTCCCCAGTGGCAAAGAAGCACAGATGCTCAGCGAGGGGCTCTGTGCTTCTCTGGCTCCACAGCAGGTGGAGCAGATATGGGTTTAATCAGCACCTCGATCGGATCCAGCTGTTCTTTTTCACGGGGCTCCATCCATATTAAGAATTACCTTTGCATCAGAAGCATGCCGTGCTGTCACCTGTACTGCTCCGTGCCAGCAGGTGGGTGGGAGGGCACGAGCAGCACAGAGCCCCAAGGGAGGGCAGGGAGGTGTTCCAGGCCAGATATAGAAAAAGGATCTTCTCAGCACAAGCCCAGGCAGGCAGCGCTTCGCCCCCCCATCCTCAGAAATTCAGGTCTGCCTCTCTAATGAAGAGGAGAGACTCCTGCCACCAGGAGCACTGCAAAAAATTAATGGAGATTACAGCTGTAACTGCTCGAATCGAATGCAGACCCATGTGTGGCGCGGCCCTTTTGCAATTTTAGCAGCTTGCGGCAGCCCTGTTTACAGCTGTCCCTGCCTGATCTGAGCCCAGCAGGAATGAAGCTGATAGAAAGCGAGCAAAGTGAATTAGGAGCAGAGAGGCTGTGAGCGCAGCGCATCCCGCTGCAGCCGCTCCGGGAGATTCGTCTTTCAGACAGCACCAAGTGCTCCCCTCCCCTCCCCTTTGTGTGCAAAGCGCCCCGGCGTTGGCACTGAAAGAACAGCACAGCCCCCGGGTCCGGCAGGGAAGGGCTGATGGCTCTGAGCACGGCCCCGCTCCTCTGGGAGCTCCGGGGGAGGAGAGCTCAGCCCAAGCTTTCCTCCTTCCTTCTATAGGAGCTCAGGGCACAGCACCGCTGGGGCTGCTGGTTGAGCAATGCTTGCAGGGTGCCTGAACGCAGCGTTTGTTGGGATGCAGAGATGAGGAAACCTGAAGGCAGAGGGACCCCGCTGCTCACAGCTCAGCCTCAGATCCTGCTCTGCGGGACAGGGGCTCCCAGGCACAAAACTATTGATTTTCACCTCTAACAAATGAGTGGGGAAATTTCCACTCCTTAGAGCAGGAGATGCTCTGAATATTTATGTTATTGTTCACCGATGGAAGAAAAGAAAAAGTGCCATAAATGCACATATTTGGTGACCCAATTTGAGTGGCTCATTACAATCAGATCAAGCTAATTGCCAGCCTTGTATTTCATTTGGCAACTTGTTAAGCTAATTGAACAAAATAAAACTAATGAACAATTATAATGAAGTTTATAATTAGACCATTGAAAAAAGCCAGTGTGAGAGTGTTTAAGGCATAATGAATGTTCAGGAGGCGCGGGAGGAGTTGGGCAGCGAAGCCAAATGCTCCTTCCCAGGCCCAGAGATGGTGGTGTGTCACTGCTCCCAAATCACATCAAGGCAGCGTAATATTAATTACATTCATGCCCTTCAAGTATGCACATGGCATTTAGCGACCTAAAGCGAGGGCTGAGCCTATTAGAGAGGCAGCTGAGAGCTGGGTGCTGTGCTGAGCTCCCCGCACTGCCATGCATGTCTTGGCCCCGTTAGGGCAGGGCTGTTGTGCTGCAGGGGCTGCATCCTAACAGGACGATGCATCGCTCCAATGCAGAACTGCTTTGCCAGTTAAGAGCCAGGGAGACAAACCAGGAGGAACAGAAAGAGTGGGAGATGAGAGAGTGGTCGCACAGAAATCCAATGGGGCAGCACCAAGCGCAGCTGGAACAGCGATCCCAGCACACAGCAGCCTCCTCGTGCTGCTCTGGGCTTCTCCTTCCTCAGTTCCCTGTCTCTGCACAGCAGCACGGCTCAGCAAACAGGAATAAACCCTAAAGCAAAGCGTGAAACAGGCCCCTCGATGCGAGATAACCGGGGCCATTTGCAGCCTCGCTTGGCATTTGCATTGAAGAACAAACCTGTACCAGAACCTCTCTCCATGCTTTACACTCCTGCATTAATTCATGAAGTGTCGTGTATCTGGCATATTTCATTATACATAAGTACCAGGCCAATTAAAACCCTCAGGTGAGTGCAGCAGCCGCACAGCCAGGCTGGCACAGCCAGGCCCATGGAGGCACAGAGCCGGACCTGCTCAGCTCAGCTCCGTTCCTGCAGGCAGGTTATTTCAGCTCAGTGGTACCTTTTTGTAGCTAACAGCAGCTGAAGAGGCTCAACCCCACCGTGGGGTGGGAATGTTACCCTGCACCAACCACTTCTGCCTTTAAATTGCTGCAGGAAGGGAATGGCACTGACAAAGGGAACTCTGGAGAGCAGATTCCTTAGCAGTGTGAACCTCTGTGTGTTCTTCAATATGCCATCATAATCAACAATCCTGAGTACATTTTTTTTTCCTACGGGTCCTCATTGTGTCAGCCAGGACCTCAGGCAGAACGCTGATAACCCTCTCGAACTCTGCAAAAGCACTGCTCAAAGCATTAGGGCAAGAAAGAAGGTCTTGTAATTATGAAGTAAGAAGGCCCAATTAATTCTTTGCTAACACGCTACAGAACAATGGCTCAGCAACAGCACACTGAGAATTCCCTCCCCCCACACACTGCTCTGTCCCCAAACTCTGTGGCTGAGGATTCCTCTGACCCACGGAACCATGAGGAGAATTGCATGGACAGCTGAGGCTGCAGTGTGAGTGCTGGGGGCACCCTGCAGTTCTGCAGCTCAAATTGTTCAAGACGCCCTCAGAACCACTAACAGCAATTCGGAGCTGTTTCCCACTCCTCTGCACACCAATTCACTCCTGCTTTGCACACAGCCCATCAGAGCAAGGTGCTTCAGCTGACGCTGATCAGCGCTTCAATGGAGCACATGCTCTCAGCAGCTTGGCCATGCTGCACCAAGCTTGTGCATTCCTGCTACAATGCAGGACAGCATTCAGCTTCTTTCTGGTGACCCTACAAACCCCCCAGCCCCGCAGTTCCATCTCAGGATGAAGCTGTTACACTCCACTAATGCATTTTAATATTGCCTTAATGCTCGTTTGCCTGTGTGACTGACTGCTCTGCCTTGCCAGCAGTATCCTTCTCACTGTGCATGCACTGAACAAAAGACATCAACAGCCCCAGGGAAGGTGGACTCCATCAGGCAGTTACCTTTGTCTTTAAAATCACCGACTTTGTAATTCACACAACCAATTTCTCTTTTGCACATGACTTCTATCAGCTCCATCCCGCTTGGGCAGTGGCCCGCCTGCTCATTTTCTTTGGAACCACTGCTAACCATGGAAATCAACTGAAACCAGAAGGCAGTGAGAGGGAAAGTACCTGCTTTGAGAGGAGCTGACAACAGCACGTTTATGATGGCAGCAATAAAACTGTGAGTCAAGGACAAATGGATGGGGATATAGAGCTCTATGGAGGTGCTCTCAGATTTGCAGACCGCCTGAGAAACGCCCCCAGCTGTGATACTGCTGCTCTGAAGTTCCCCCTGTTGAACACTTATGCCAGAGGCTTACAGTGATCTGCAGTGAGCTCTCTGCATCCCACACGTGCCACAAGTATCTGTACTTTCCAAGCAAAGCACTGCAAACCCCAGATTGGGAATAGGCAGCACGCAAAACCGGGTGCCACTGGTTACACATTGATGGCCCAAAGGCAGCAGATCTTGGGACAGAAGACCTGAGCTCACAAGAATCCTCTTGAAACAGCATTTGCCCCCTATTTCCCTGTTTGATCACTACTTCCTTACGTCCAGGCTCTGAAGAGAGCACAGCTAGCTTATAGCTGTAGATGGGCAGCAGGAAACTACCTTCTCTGCTCCTCATTGCCAGCTGGTGAGCTGCCCCCACCTTTCCAGGCATTCTGAACTACCCCCCATCTGGACAGAGCTGTGTTGCAGTACCTAAAGAAACAGGTCACTTGCATTTCTCTTTGCTTACCTTTGGTGTACATTGGCTGTTTGGAGGACAGTAGGAGCCGGCCTCAGGAAGGCTGAACAACAGCAGCTCTGCCTCCACCTCCCTCAAGGAACAGCTCACCACTCATCTCCATCAGCTGTGCCCCCAGCACTTCTGAAACTCAGTTCTTTAAAACCAGGTGAGGCACTCAGAGGTCACTGTCAGCAGGGCATAGAATCTGTATCACCTGTCAAGGCTTTACAGCTAGCAGGTCATTTCCAGCACACAGACCTACACACACACACACACACACACACACACACACACACACACACACACA